AACTTTGCTCCACGAATATCAAAGGCCCAAACACAAGGAAATTAAGTAAAAGAAGAAACTGACAAAAACTAAAAAAAACCAAACATGTACCGATATTGACGGGAAGAGCGAACTCCATAGAGATTGGGCGCGAGAGAGGACAAGAGAGGAGGTCGACGGAGAGAGGGAGGTCGGACGAGAGAGAGGAGGACGAACGAGAGACACCAGAGAGGAGGTCGACAGTTGCTGCGCGGGAAATTGTCGGAGAAGAATGAAGAAGGAAAAATGAAGAAGGAAGAAAGAAATACCCTTTTATTGTGTTAAGGGTATATTAGTAAATGTCTATTTAATATGATTAGTTATTTATTTTAATTGTAGCATTTTGGTCAAGGGTCACTTAAACAAATTCTGTTCTTCACAGGGTCATTTGGAGGAATTTCCACGCTATTATACAACTCGGCCTCCATCAGCTCAGAAGCTTCTACATACAAACACAGACACAAACCCTTGTTTTATGCCCGGGAGCAGTGACGTAAACCCTAGCGCAACGTCTCTGTTCGCATTCAAGCCTCGCCAAGTTATCCTCTCACAGCAGCAGCAAAGACGCGTACCTATGGCGAAGGCTAAGCCTGAAACCCCGTCCGAACTGAAGCCCGAGGACGAGTCTGTGCTGATATCCTCTGTCGCTCGATGGCTTGAGAATAAGGGATTTTCCAAAGTTCTCAAACGCTTCCTCTCCGCAGCTCAAATTGAGGTTTGTATATGGGGTCTTGCGTGTATGTGTGTGCATCTCTCTGTGTGAGTGTTCCTATGCATTTTGATTTCTTTTGCTAAAATGCGGTTTTTAGTGTATCTGTTTGATTTCTTGAACTGAAATGCTGTTTGCAGAGGGTTGGGTTGTAAGTTATGGCTAGTTAGTGGCTGATAAAATCATTTTCGTTCGTGAATTCGAATTCAAAATATTTGAATGTTGATTTTGATTATTGGGCATGGAGTGGTATTTTCAGAAGTGTAAGTTAAAATTGTCGATTTTGTTTTGCTGGAGTTCTTTTGTTGATCATTGTTTTTTGGTGCAGGACGACACTTGGAAGGCTAAGGCACTTGACTTGAATGAGATTTTCTCAAAGTATCAGGAACTGTGGTAAACATAAAAGCACATTTTTCTATTCATGCTCTTTCTAATGCAAGAATTGTGTTCTCAATTGCATGTTGATTCATGTTACTTATATAGTGCTACGGCTGCTGGTTTTCTATCCACGAAGAGCCTGAAGGATGACTATGATTGTTTTATTTGTCCTCCATGTCTCCACATATTTTCAGGATGTAGCATGAATCATAATTAGTAACTGAACTTTACTCAATTGCATCATTCTTCACACCCTAGTTTTGATAACTAGAACTTGTGTGAAGTGGATGTTGTTTCTGAAGCATGTGGCCTTCTTTAATGGTGAAGGCTTATACTTGTTGCAAGTATGGAATTAATAGCGAGCGGGATAGACTTAAGTTTTGATTGAATATTGTTGATACGGATCTCATTAGTAGCCTGGACATCAATTTACCACGACGTGCGTTCAAGGGTTTAGGTTTTGACTAACTTCTGATGTACGATTAGTTGCATATACTTAATGGTTAATACAGTTAATTGTACATAGTTCATGGCCAGGAAAGTGAATTTTCTTGTGTACAAACCATGAGGAGTCTTCGTGAAGTCCATAAAGTTACAGGGTGTTACGATTGATCTCCTTTATTCTGTAGCATGGCTACTTTTATATCTGTTTAACTTATATTTCTCTGGGAAATAACTTCAGTGCTTGTGTTGTGTATGGCCACATTTCAATTGTGATTCTTATGCTGTTGAGATCCTTGTCATTGCAGTAATAATGCTCGGGAACAAGCGACGTCCCAGAAGAAGATAGGTAACCTAAATCGTTGCCCCTCAATGTTGTTGCAACATTATCGCTTCTTGCTTCCTTGTTATCAATGATTAAGTTTTGAGCGGCGGTTTTTACAGAAAAACAGACTGATGGCACATTAGAGAAAAATGGGGATGCGAATTGTGTGGATTCTGAGGAAGCTATAAATAAGAAAAAGAAGAAGAAAAATGGTAAGGAGGATGCTGCAGTTGCTGAGACAGGACGAACTTCCGGAGGTACAGTCATCAATGAAAAGATATATGAATCAAATGAGTCTAAACCGTCTAAGGAATCTGATGGTGCGGAAGCTCTTGAATCAACGGTGGATCAATCAACTAAGAAGCCCAAAGATAAGAAGAAAAAGAAAAACAAGTCGATCTCAGAAGCATTAGATGCTGATGGAAAGCAAATAGATGTTTTGCCTGAGGTGTCTCAATCAAACAATCAAGGTTTATCTAAGGGTTCTGCTGAAGAGGCACTTAATGAAAAAACCACTACAAATAAGAAATCTAAAAAGAAAAAAGTTGAGGCTACAGAGAATGGAGATAATGAACATGAGAAGTCTACCAAGAAGAGAAAAAGGACGGATCATGTTGAAAAAGAAAACCAGTATGGTGATGAAGTGGCTGTTGAAGAATCAAAGTCTAAAAAGTCAAAAGGTCTTGAAGCAGACAAAGATCTTGACTCTGGATCCAATGGACATGCTAAACAAACTGATGAGAATGCTAATGGTGCCGTTATTGGCAATGGAGCGGATAAATCCAGTCAAAAAAAATCTGCGAAGAAACAGTGGAACGGTTCCGCTGAGGTAGACCCATTATCTCTTTCTATTGATTTTTGTTTTTAATTGAGGGCTTAATCCCATCTGAATGTGCTGTAAATTTGTAATAAGTACAGCTTATCTTATAATGGTTATCACATGGGATAGCTTGCATCTCCTGCTGAGGATTTAAAATTGTATTCCTTCAATATTTATTAATATTGTGTTCTTTTTCGTCATTGTTGAGAATATAATCACTTATATATAGTTTCTACGCAAATCACAAAGAATGTTAATATTGAAGTAGACAAGTTTGCTGGTCTTTTGCAGCCAAAAGCAGGGAATGCATTTCAAAGAGTGAAAATTGATGAGGTGGAATTTGTTGATGTAAGGCTTCAAGATAACTCATATTGGGCCAAGGTCTGTTACATTCTTTGTTTTGTTTCCTTGTTTAGTTTTCTTCTCTCTTAATGAATACTTTTCTCATAGTTGCCATTTACCTATTGAGATAAATACGCACTCTTCGAATTCTTGTTCTTTCAAACTGAACGACCTCTCCCTAATGGTTAAGAACTTTGAAAAAGATTAATTTTTTCCCTATTTGCCTGGAGGTTTAGAAGTAAGTTTTGACATCCAATTTGTTGTGAATAAAATGGGTGACATTTCTTCTGTTTTCCTGTTTGTTACAGGATGGTGCAGAAACTGGTTATGGTGCAAAAGCACAAGAAGTTTTGGGACAAGTCGAAGGAAGGTGTGTTTCTTTCTACCTTACGTCAGACATACTTTCCTTGCCTACAAAATCATATACACACCAAATATATCTGAATAAAACTGGATTTGTTCAATGTATTGTTCAGGATACTAACTAGAAATAAAAAAGAAATAGA